ACCGGCCGCATGGCCGAGGATTCTCATGCTGTTTCATCGCAAATGAAGCGCGCGCTGGGCAAGCGAGCGGCCTTGGTCGCAGTGGCAGGGTCAGGGATCAGGCGAGCGCCAGCTAGCGACCTCTGGATGCGTACGAAAGAGGGGCCGATGAAGAGGTCCAGGAGCAATTAAGGCTTGGCAGGGGAAGCAAAGCAGGGGTGAAGAGGGGCGGCCTGGACTGGGGTGATCGCTTTCTTTTCGCACCTCGTCCACGAGATCAGACGAACAACCATGATTTTCGCTCCCGCTCGGCCGCCGTTTTTGCCTGCTGGATTGGCTAATCAGGCCCCACGAGAACGAGCGGTGATGCGCACATGCTCAGACGCGGCCGTTGTCCAAGCTGCCAGCCAGCGTCACATCAGGCGCTCTTCCCGGTTGGCAAATGCGAGGACCCGACGATGCCATGCGATCAAATCGTACCAGACTGCGCAGCTCCATGATGGTACGGCGGCCCATGCCGAATAGAGCTTGGTCGCCGGGCTGGCCATGGTGCACTGGAGGCTGGGCGGACGGGGGTCGGCGACGCTGGCGGCATGAAGCAGATGAGAACGGCGAGGAGAAGGAAGAAAACTGGTGGAGAGAGGTGGCGTCTGTGACAGTGACAGCCTGACGACGTTGGGGCTAACGTCTTGGACACAACGATCTCTGGAGGTCGATGTCAGGGGGCTGTCCTTGGGTCGGGCACTCTATTCCAGGCGGACTGGCTGTCATACGTATCAACTGTTGGACTGCCGTGTTGACTTAATCTACCGTAAAGCCAACGGCTGCGGGGTTTTCGCAGGCTTCCCGTCTGTTGAAGCTTCCGAGGTGTTGTCCAGCCATCATAGCATGCTCTCTACACCCATGAGTATAGTGGCGGTGCTATGAAAGAAGCTTACTTGGATAGTAGGCCATGTGGTCGTAAAGCCCCTAGGGAAAATCCCAGAAAATCTCAGAAAATCCCAGCAGTCCCATCGACCACGCCTGTATCAGAGGCCCACTATCCAAGGGGGTAGACGCTCGAAGCGGGCTGACGAGAATAATGACCAATGAGGCATCACCTTCAATCGATATACCCAATCCTATTCGCTCCAATAGTCCCAAGCTCGAGCCGCTGCTCTCCTGAAACAGGGGACGGGGGAGGGCGTCTTTGGCTAACCCCCTCCCCGTACTGACTCAATTTACCTGCAACTCGCGGCGGCCTCGTCTATCCTTAGTGCCCAGAGCCCGATGCAGCGCTCCACCTCAATTTCGCACTAAATAATGACGTCGATCGGGTTGCCCTACCGAGATTGTAGCCCAGGCGCTAGCCGCCGCTGTCAAACACTGCAATCCTTTCTTTGCCTTCTGTCTGACCCCTTCTGCAGTGTGTGCTGTCTCACAAGATGGTCATCATCAGGTCTTCTCCTGACACTGTTGGCTCCGCCGGCATGTCACCTCAGGGTAACTTGCGATAATCGAGCCGACAACGCCGTACTGTTGTTGCCCGTGGGGTCCGGCCCTCGACTTCCCTGCCAGCCTCCATCTTTATTGCGCGTCTACTGCACCCCGGGACCTCGCTCTCGGTCCTCTTGCCTGCCTCTTGTATATTGCCCTCCACCAGAAAAGCCTCTCGGCAGACGGTTCTTTACCCGCCTCCGAGATGTCGGCTTCTTGGGCGTTCTTGGTCGTGACGGCAGCAACAGCGGTACGGCTCCTGTGACTATGATATCCCCCACGTCGCACCCCCCTTTGTGTCCTTGGTTCTTTTTCTTCTGCCGGCTTCAATGACAGCTGAGCCTCGCAAGTGCCGGCATGCTTCCTTTGTGGACACGGACGAAGTGACCAAGCTACGGATCTGTAGGTGTGAAGCTGAGGTTATGCGAAAAGGCTCCACCAGTTGCCATTTGGTACCGAGCTGTAGCACGCATCGAGCATCTCCCGCTGTCCGTGGACTGATGCTGCGTTGATCTGGAGAGACGCCCGACAGCACTGTCGTGGCAGATACATCGGGACTCATGCGATCATAAGATGTGTGGTATAGGTGTTGGCTGATCCGATGTCACTCTACTCCACACAGCCAGTCGATCATGGAGTGGCCGCTTGATCAGATGGATGTCACCACAGCCATTCATGCGACGAAAATTGCGCATTGATATTGTGCCGCACAAGATCGGGACACTCTCGTCAAATATTCGATAGTGAGGAGGATGTGGCGTTTCCAGGGTTCCTGGCAATTTTGACCGACTAGTCAAATCCGCACACCGCTGTCTCAGACGGAGGGATGATGAAGATGGGCATTTCAACTCAACGCCTGTTCCCAAAACGCTTGTCTCCACGCCGTCAGCTAGAGATGAGACCAGCAGATCGATGGATGAGTAATCATGCATGTCGATGTTTGTCTCTGGAAGCTCCATCTCGACAAAATGTGACCGACTCTCGTTTGAAGGAACTGAAACATTATGGGGAAGGCTTTACGGTCCTCTTCTGAGCTTGGTTGTCTCTAATGTTCCTACCAGGACGAGAGATCCACCAATGCGGTATAGTGGTGACAGCATTCTGGGTTCTGACACAGTGAGAACTCATCTGAATATTGTGATCGCACGAAGATGAATGGCCTAGAGGGAGAGACGGCCCTTTTTCTCCATTCCAAGCTGAGGAGTTTGCAACCTTGATGAACATCTAGCTTCGAAGGTTGAGATTTAATAACACAGATGAAAGATATCTCATGACATCTTCCTCCTTCCAGTTGCCGGTCCAGGCACTTCAAGATTCCCGGAGTGTCAGGACCATTTGAGGTTGGAGAGAGGGAAAAAATCGGATCCCAGAATCCTAATAAGTAGATTGTCACTGCTGCATCATGATAGCGCCTCGGACTAGTGAGGAAGAAAGTTGTCTTAGCCCTGGCGACGCATAAAGTAGGTGTTCATAAACGACTTAACCTAAGTGGACAGGCGGGATGTCTTAAATATGCCTTTCCAGTACCGAGTATACAATAGATACAAAATGTGCTGCTTTGGGACCGCGTTCATCTACATGGGGCTGACTTTGAGGACTTTGGTGCTGAAATCCGTAACATACCTTGTCAGCTGTATACGGATGATGCTGCGCTCGGAGTGTCCTGCCACGCATTTAAAGGATGCTGCTGAAATTGTTCAGAAGCTTATATTTTGGCTGTACCTCTTCGACTTGGGATATTGCCTGACCTCTCCGTGTGCGTGATGGTTCATAGATAATTCGTTGTTACAAAGGTGGCGAGCCCTTTCAAGCAATTTTGGCACGACCAAGGCTTACCCAGGGGGAATAACTATGGGACTGTATCTGGAGATGCCTCACTGCAGCTTATTGAAGCAAAGGACCTTCGTTGCATATGCGTCGCGATGCAGCATATGGATGCCTGGGCCCGACATACATGCCAATAGAGAGCAGATATTGGCTTTGTCAACCTCACCAGCACCTTTCGAGTTCTTTTGAGTCCTCGCAATCTTCATTTCGCCTAAGCGCTAGTACTTTCATTACTCCCAGTGTTTCTTTGGACGAGTCGAATCAAAGAGCTCCATATAAAGCGGTTCATCAGCTTGGTTGTCGAACTCGCCACGCCACGTTTCTATACTCTGGCAACTGAGCAGGGTTTGTTCAGGCAAACCGACCAAGTCACCAGGAACGGTCGTTGTCGTACCTAAGCGACAAAGACTAAAATCTCACGAGACCGGGATTGAGTTCGAGACAAAGCCAATGTAGCCAGTTTTTAAGGGAGATCTATCTGCAGATTGCCTAGGTAGTGGCAGCTTTGGAGCAGTACCAGGCGACTTTGTGAGCGGATCTTCGAGTTGACAGGATAAACAACGCCATGACTGTCGAAAATCCATCCTTGGTAGGCAGGCTCGCCGGTACGCAGACAAGTTGAATGGGACAAGACGCACGGCAAGAGCATAACGTGATGCCCAAGGGCGGGAGCAAGGCGCGGTGCCGCGCTACAGCACTACCAGCAATCTCAGAGCTGCATCTCCATTGCGTAGGCCTCAATATACCTGATGCGCTCAAGTCTTCAGTGACGGGCTGCGAAGTTGTAAAAGACCATGTAAGCCAGACAGATAGGCCCTTGACACCATTCAACACGATGGAATACCGCGAGCATGCTTTGAAAAAGTCTCGTGAATATACTGGAGGGCTGCACGCGTGCCCACTTTGTTTCGGCATTTCCATGCGTTCAACATTTGAAGCTCGCCTGCGAGCAAATCCAAACGTGGGCAGAGACCTTGTGCCGAAACCCGAAAGACTTACCCGCAGTGCAAAGCGGAAGACGTCTAGTGCAGCTACCACGTCACCTACAACAAATGAGGGGCGGTCGCCTCGCGTTGCATCGTCCCATGGCATTCTCGTTGGCGCAGACGGGACATCGAGACATGATCCTGAAGAACCAAGAAAGACAACAACGTGTGAGGGCGGAGTCAACCCGTCAAGCGTCGTCAAGCGTCCAGGCGAGCACACCAAACGCCTCATTAGCGCATCATGCGCTTTTGCCCAATCTCCCAGAGACACTCCCATCCGCTGACTCGCACGCAAATTCGGGGCGCACCACCAACAAACGACCAAGACCCGTCCAGGGCCCGTGACCCGGCCCTGCGAATCATCCAACCACACCGCGTGAGCCCGGCAGTGGGAGGGAACCCTCGACCGACTTTTTTTTCATTCCCTCCCTTCACTGCACCACGGGCTGCCAATCAGGCCGTCGAGGAGGAGGAGGGGTCCAGGGTAGGCCCCGGCAGACGTCCCAATGCGCATGTAGCGGCGATCATCCAGCGACCTCACCTGGGTCTAGTCTCAGTGATTCGCGCCTGAAGCGTAATGACACACCAAGAGGGTGACCCCCTTTCGGACGGGGAGACCAAGGAGAATAATTGTTTAAAGATGGGCCAAGTCCTCGTCAACATGTTCGCGATGTCGTCGTGCATGTCAAGGCTGTGCGAGGTGCATGCTGTTTCGCAGAATTCGACGTCAACATGGATCGGCAGCGCGATTCCACCGTCTCGGGCTACACAAACGGCACGGCGTCGACGGATTCGGAAGCGGGCCGGCCTTCCAACGAGAGCACCGGCAATGCCCGAGGCGGCAAGGAGGCCACGGACAAGCTGTCGGCTCACCAGTTCATCTACCTCTTCCTCCTCGACGGGCTCGGCGCCCTCGTCCTTTCTGGTGGCATCAACTTTGCCATCGCCTACGGTGCGTCCCACACGGCTTGCGGTTTCTGGCGATGGCAGGGGAAGAAAAGGCTAGAAGGAAAATGACAAAAGAAAATTGACATTTTCCAGCAATGTACACGACGCAGAATCTCACCAAGAACCCAATCCGTCTCTTCCAGCTGCGAAACACCCTCGCCGGCGACGCGGCCCTGTCGATTGTCCTCCAGTGCGTCATCACGTGGCTCCTCGAAGCACTTCTCGTGAACCGCGACTTGCGCAAGGGCGGGATCCGGCCGATCGGCTTCGTCGCCGAGCCGACGAGCGCATCTCTCCGCTGGCTCCTGATGCTTGACAGCGAGAAGCCGAGCTCGGGCGGCGAGAAGCCGTCGAAGCGCGCGAGCGTCAAGCGAGGCGCGGCGTCGCTGCTGCAGCAGGCGCCGCGGGTGTTCGTCATCATCCTGGCCAGTTTCGCGCTCTGCTGGCCGGCGTCTGTTGGCATCTTGCTCGCCGTGGGCGAGAAAAGGGGCGGCGACTGGTTCTTCGAGGCGACGTGGACGCCGCAGATCTTCAAAGGGGTGCTGGGTGGCGTCTTGGCGCTGCTGACGACGCCGTTGATGGCGGGCTATTGGCTCGTCAGGGAAGGCTGGAGGTTGAAGCGGGGAGGCGCACTGCTGACATGATGCGGCCGACCATGAACCACGACGAATGACCATGATGATCAACAGCATGCACAAACGAGAACGATAGATAGACACCACCCGCAAGGGTTGTACTTAATTTATGCCGTACTTTGATCTGGGACGCCGGTGTGCCGGCTCAAGCAGATGGCTAACGCTGCTGCTGCGAGGGTATAGGAAGCAACACCGCACTGCCAACTAAAACAGGACTATACAACGAAACGCGCGAAAGAGTGTATACAACAGTGCTCAGGCAAGCTCGGTGGTCTTGCCCTCGGTGGCCAGGTCACCACCCTTGCCGCCGTAGGCCTGCGGCAGCTTCTCGCCGAGACCGTCGACGCTGGCGTCGGCGAACTCGTTGGCGAGACCAGAACCGTAGGTCATGGGGTGGAACTTCTTGGCCGTCTTGGTGGCGACGAAGAGCTTCATAAAGGCGTACATGAAGCCCATGATGGCAGGCACGTTGACGAAGAACTTCTCCTTGAGCAGCTCGGGGTAGTTCTGGGCAAGCACGGCGATGGTCTTGGTGCTCGCCGCCTTGACCTCGGCGGACTGGCGGAGGAAGGAGATGGACTGGTAGTCGTGGACCTGGTAGATCTTGTAGGGATCCTCGGTCGCGGTGATGGGTTTGGTGGCGGCACCAATGTTGAGCGTCTGGATGCCGAGCTCCTGCAGGGCGACGCGCCACTCGATGAACCTGCGCCGTGTGTCAGTTTCGTCTGTCTGTACCTGACAGGAAAGAGGCCTACGAGGGGGACGACGTACTCATCGAGGTTGCCAAACGTCTCGGACATGCGCTTGGCAGCAGCACCGTAAATGTTCCACGTGAACACCTCACGCTTCTGCTGGTCGGCGGCATCATCACCGTACGAGGTGACGTAGCCGAGACCAGCAAACTTGTCCTTGGAGAAGGCCTTGGTGACGAGCTCGAGGGGCTTCGCCTGTGCTCGCCATGTCAAGGTCTTGGTGAGCTGGTCAACGGCCTTGGGGACGTCGCCGTCATTGGCGTTCAGGTACTTCTGGAAGACGATCTGCGAGGGGACGTGGCTCTCGGGATCGGCAAGGGTGACACCCCAGATCTCGGGGTGCGAGTGGGCTTTGGCAGCCGCCCACAGCTGCTGGATAGGAGAGGCTTCAGGGGCAGCAGCTTCAGCAGGCGTCGGCTCGGCTGCCTCGTCCTTCTTGGCCTCGGGCGCAGGAGCAGACGCTGACGTGGACTCCTCGACCTTGGGAGCCGCAGCAGCAGCAGCAGCAGGAGGAGCAGCAGCAGCCTCGGGCGCAGGCGTCGGCTCAGCGGCAGGGGCAGAAGTCTCGGTGGAGACGGGGACGGGCTTCTCGTCGGCCGCAGGAACTGGAGCTGGCGCAGCTGGCGCCTCGGCAGTCGTGGATGGGGCCGTTTCGGCAGCAGGCTGCGTCTCCGCAGCGAGAGGAGCTTGGGGCTTGTTGTCGGCCATGTTGATGATGGTGCTCTCTGTTGATGGATGAATTGATGAGAAAAGACGAAAAAAAAGAGCAAATGGTACGATGGGATGACAGACCACCTGTTCTCAATCCAGTGAGTTTGAGCTTCCAAAGGCTCGAGACATCAGGGTCCGTGTGCGGGGCTGCTATTGGCCGGGTACCTCGCCCGCGGAAGGGCCCGCCGGTAGTTGTCACATCACGTGGCTTAGCTCCGTACCTATCTACCTGCCTTACCTAAGTAGGCACCTATCTAAGGGACGTGCGAGCGATTGTTGGGCACCTTCTGTTGGCAGCATCCTCCTGTCGATGCTTAGGAAGCAAGCTCGCGATGTCGGCAACAAGGCAGCAGCCAGACCCATCTTGTTGGCTTTGGCCTAATCATGGCGCACGGCAACACGGTCTACGGACGTGCCAATCCTCGCGCGGCATGTCGAACATTGGCACGGACAGCGGCCCAACGAACACCAGCAAGTAGCAGCATGACAAGTGGGATGGCCAGCGTCTGCAAAGGGGGGAGGGGGAGGGGGAGGGGGAGGGGCAATCGAGCGATGATGGCAGACGGCAACGATGCCTTCTCGCCCAAGACGCGACTCGGATCTCGCGCGCCTCGCGTCACCTCCATCACATCACCCTCACGGGGCCCAGGACATCAAACGGTTGGATGATGCGCCAAGTGACCTGACGCGACCCGCAAAAGGGAGTGGACGACGTTGTACCACCTGTCACCACTCGTTCCCGTTGCCTCCCTGCTCCTTGCCCGCCACCAGTTGCTGGAAGCCCAGACCCAGCGGCCCGGCCGTCTCAACCCGCCATGCTGTGCCCTTTGCCTCGTGACCGATCTTGTTCCCGCGGGGCGGCGCGAGGACTGAGGCGGTACGACCTCATCGTGCGTGCTGCATGCAGCAGCCATGGAGGGCAGGTCAGAAGAGAGGAAGCGAGAAGGAAACGTGAGGGGCGGGCGAGACAGCATGGCGGGAATCAAGGCCCCAGCGAGCATGCCCGCGCGCGCGCCAGTGGACAGCAACGGTCAGGCACCTTCGGGCGCCGTTGCAGCGTGCGTCTCTTGGGTGTGTTTGGCAACTTGGGGCGTGGTGAGCGCGAGGAGGCGGCCGACGGCCAATCATGGGACCAGCCCTGAATGGTAAAGGGGGGGTGAGAGGCCTTTTCGAGCCCAGCAAAAAGGGGGTCAAACTGAGTTTGCGTCTGCCGTCAGCGGCATTGTGTGGACGCGATATGACGGAAGCAGAGTGAAGCTGCGAGACACGACGAGGGTTGAAGCCCAGATCAAGGCCCGATCTGCTATTCGGAGCATGGTGACGGGAGCAGAGACTCCAAGGTACCTACCTAGGTAAGGAAGGTAGTAGGTAGAGAAAACGAGAAGGGAGGGTTGGCGGCGCCTCTAAAACCCAGCAGAGCTCCTCTTCCCCCCCATGCCCGTCCATTCGTTCAGCTCAAGTCTTCAGTTCCTCCAACCCAAACCTCCGCCGCCTCTTTGTCGTCCATCTGGCTGCCTCTTTCTCTGCCTCCTCCCGTCTCCTCTCCTTTTCGCATGAACTGTCATGAGCACGGAAAAGCTGTCGTCTTAGCCCCCCGCCATTCGCAATCCACTGTGGCTCCCCTCTCGAGGCACCAGTGATCGGGAAAAGCGCAGAGGGCTTAGCGGATCTCTGTCATTGGCGTTAGTGGTCGCTCAGTGGGGACTAGTGCCACTTTTTCAGCGCCAGACGTCCTCTCGACTGCTCTCTCAAGGCGCCCGGCGACAGACCGGACAGCGTCCCCAGGCCTCCAGTGCCCTCCTGCCACCCGGCTTGGCCCCTTTCGGCCCCCCTCCTGCCCTGTCGAGCTGGGTCCTACTGCCTCCACCCGGGCCCAGCCTCCCGGCCCTCCTGGTCTGTTGTCCTACGCTACCTTACCTTAGGTAGGTAGGTACCGGGTACCTGCCCGCCTGCCTTCGACACCAGGCACTATAGGTACCTGCCCACCTGCCTCGACACCAGGCACTATAGGTACCTGCCCTACTGCCTTGACACCAGACACTATAGGTACCCTCTGACCGCCCGACCTTTGTCTGCTCGGCGGGGTCTGAAGTGGGCTCCATCATCCAGCCTCCGCCCTCACTGACCGACTCTTCTCCCCCCCCCCTTCTTCAACCGCATTTGTCCGCGCGACCCCAAACCAAAGCTCGTCCGTGGACGGATCGACAGCTCCCTCTCCCGGCGAGAGGTCGAGATCAATACTTCAGCTTTGTCGCTCGTCGTTGCCGACGCCAGAATCAGACTCAGACACAGCCAGACCACGACAACCGAAACGGTCGCCCGCCATCATGGCCATCACCGAGACGGTCACCATCATCAACAACTCTGGCAAGATCATCAGCACCGTACGAACACCCC